AGAAAAAGAGAGAAAGAGAGAAAGGGAGAGGAGAGAATCGAAAGTTTAATCTTCCCATATCACCCAAAATACATATATTATACATATATATATGCACATATATATATATATATATACACATGGAATGCGAATGAAAAAAATTTAAATATAAAAAAATTTCCTGTAAACTTCATATTTCTTGCAATTACAATCCCTATTGTTTACCAAACGAGAGAGTTTATGAAGTGGAGTCTGTGGAGGACTGGTTTTAGCGGTACTTAGTAACTTCGCTCCTGCTCAAACGCTACGACCTATCTTGCAACCCGGTGGGACTGAGCACGATATTGCATAAATAGTAAAATTGTGAGAGCCGGAAATACGATCCCAACCGTCGGGGGAATGCGGCAGACTTGCCCGCATTCTCCTCAGACGGGTTGCCTACTTCCTTCCTCTGTTGATGCTTTAAGATCATTGTAGAAAGAGAATGCATAAAACATAAGGTATGAACCTCGCGACCAATCACGGCGTTTCTATCGAATTGCCGCGTATGAAGCACAGAAATGCGCGACATCAGATTACGTGTAATGAAATAAATTTATACGTTGTTACCTCGACGAAAAGCAATCGATAAATATATAGATGGAAATTTTTGGAGCTTAATTTAATTATTTGTTCTTTTTTCATAATTCATCATGTGATTAAATTTCTTTGTTATTTGCGTTGTAGTCGAAACTAAACTAGCATTTTTCAATTCTTAATTTCTGCCGCGGTGAAGAAATAAACAATTTTCCCTAATTTGATCAGATTCAATATTATTATTTTGAAGAGTATAAAAACTTATTTACTGTGTTAAAACGAATTTAAGACAGCATATTAAATATTTCGTATCAATAACGTTAAATTTTTATATTTATTTGCCGTTTTATAAATGCAAGCCATAAGCAAATTTAAGACAGCATATTAAATATTTCGTATCAATAATGTTAAATTTTTATATTTATTTGCCGTTTTATAAATGCAAGCCATAGAGAGAAAAGGGGTGGCCCAATGACTGTTGTAACATTTAATAATTGTAATATAATACATTCGATTTGTATATATATATATGTATATAACATATGTATATATATATATATATATATATATATATAACGTATATATTTCTTTCTATTTCAAACAAGATAAATAGCAAGAGAAATTGCAAAGTTGCGTTTACGTCGACATAAATATGCTAATTTTCCCGCGTACAGCATTTTGTTTACATAATAATATTAATTTGCCGACTTTTCACGAGCGCTGGCAAACTGGACAAGATGTTTGGAAATTTCTAGTGGCGAAACTTCGCCGCAGTATGATTGCCAGCTCTCGGCTACAATCAAGTGCTTCAATGTTTCCAGGCATTCGGAAGAGATCGCTCCGTCCGAAAGCATTAAACTACTTGAGGTACTTCGATCGGCTTCAAACTTTAGATTGATGTGAAATTTCTCGGTAGACCAATTATTATGGATTTGCTTTTCTTCTTCTGTGATCTGTATGAAAGTTGAACTTACTTCAGAGAGTACGTCGTTAAAGAGATCATCACGAGAAATATAGAGAAACGAACGATGCAACGAAGATTCGAAGCGCGATCTCGGCGCAATCTTTTCTTGGATAGATGCGTATTGGAATTTTTATTCCGGTCGTGTATAAACCATTTTACGGACTTCAGATTCTCGAGTCGAGTACGTACTTCTGTCATACCTCGATGACGATTATTTTTCTGGATTTGCGTGTAGGTATCTCTCGCCTGTATTTCAGGATTTCTCTCGGTCGCTTCGCGAATACGCTTTACATCAAGATTAAAGGTAAAGCTGTATTACTGAAAAGAATTCTGTTTTTTTTCCCCCTAGCCAAAACCAAAAACGATTGTATAGTCTGGTCCGATAGCGATTCAAAGGAGAAGAGTTTGTTCCAACGCGATTCTTGAGACTCCCGGACGAAAGGTATACCCGACGTGGAAAGTTTACGTCGTCGAAATTTCGACAGAACAACCGAGGAGGTCGATTCTATTGCCGTGTAGAGTGCAGCAGTCTGTATGATGTATGTAGGTCAGCGTTTCTCTCATCCTTTTACGTGCAGCGGACCATCGGTGCATCAATTGAAAGAAGTATGTCGCTATGTTGTGGTACGTCAGTGTATATTCGTGCGATACTTGAAGACATGTTTGAAAAAACACCAGACGAATGGACGAAAACATGTTGGCTTCTATATAAATGCGTGATACACGCGAAAACTTTTAAAGTATTTTTCTTTGTTCTTCACTGTTTTCTATCAATTATATCTGTTATGACATTCAACGTGTTGATCCAATGTTATGTAATTATTTCAGAAGCAATCTCAATTTGTTTTTATTAATATATTCCAAATATTTAAATTTAATTAGATTTAAATCTAAATTTAATTTATTATAATAAAAGTATAGATATTTTATTATCAATTGATTGTGAATTACTTAAGTAAAGAGCAAAGCTAATAAAATTGAAGATCTTTTTAATTATTGATCTACTTCAATGTTTTTTTTTTTTACTGTGTAAATCCATTCAATGAAGAGAGCAAGAGAATATATTCTGGAAACAGATTGATGATGAATACAATGAGTAACATTAGGTTCATGTAACCTCTCCATGGGTGACTGACCACAACCAGTACTTGGTTATCTCGCTAAAGGGTTAGGTCAGGTATATCCTGTCTGGCTTTTCAGTTTCTGTTTCACGCTACTCGAACATCATGAAATGTTATAGTTGCGGTATTTGCCGTCTAAAGTTCCGCGTGTAGCCGCAAATGTTATTTTCGAGCATTGCGCTACTTTGTCATAATAGTATGCATTTTGATCTCGGTCAAAATATTTGTGGGGTAAATTAATTTGCTGTTAGATAGATAATGATAAAGTTATATCACGTTGACTTTCGCGTACACGCGCACCAGATAGATATTATACATCTAGTTCGATAAATGCAATACGAATGCTATTGTAGTATTGGCTTGTATTGACAAAACTGATGAAACGATTAGATTTATCCTTATTATGTTTCAATAAATCTAACACGAGATGACAATTATGACCCCGATCACTCATACGACCTGACACATTTCTAAATTGGAGCGTTTAATCACAAAAGCATTACCAACTCA